CCCCAAAACCCCAAAACCCCAAAACCCCAAAACCCCAAAACCCCAAAACCCCTTGAAGAGGAATATTTTTTGAGGAAAAAGTAATATTTATTAAAATATGTCTTCAGCCAGTTTCCCAATTGCGCCAAAGCAGACTGTAGAGTTTAACAAGGTTGAATCAGAAGGATGGGAGTTCTATGTCTCTAACAAACCTATGTTTAACACTAAAGAACTTGATCAGATAGCAGATGTTATTCCTACACAAGCACTTCCAGATATTGTATTTGGGTACAACAGGATCTACATGGTGAATAAGAAGAGGAACTTTCTTTATGAGTTCTCTCCAATAGATGCACTTACTCTCTGCTCTTATGCAGTCCAGACAAAAAGACTGCACCCAGATCAGGTTGAAGAGACCAAGGACGAGGCTTCAATGGATGAGGAAACCAAGGAAGTTGATCAATTCACTGCTCTTAACAGGATCGACCTAAAACCCAAAAATGTTGAGGTCTCCATGGCTGACAAATGGAAGGACAAGGATACTTCTAAGATTGAAGATTTTAAGGAGCTTGAGATCATCAGTGACTGGACTTACTCCACTCCTTATAAAGGAACCGTCCTCCCTCTTAGCGAGAATGTTGAGAGAATCAAGCAAGATTTTGACTTAGAAATTGAGCCTCAGGAAGAGCCAGAAAACAGTGAGATTACTATAGAGAGGACAGAGGATGAAATCCCCATTCATAGATTGACTCCTGAGAACCCTATTCTTCATTATATGGAAATTGAGATGTTTGAGGATGAACTAGAAGATTGCGGTCACACTATGTCAAAAGTCAGGTTCAGAATCATGAAAGATTGCTTCTATGCCCTTGTTAGGTATTATTTGAGAGTTGATGGAGTCATTGTCAGAATTCTGGATACTAGAATTTTCCATGACTTTGAGACAAACCACATCATCAGAGAGTTCTGGCATAAAGAGGCAACTTATGATGAGCTCAGAGCTAAGCATTTTGACCTCAGCTCTGAATGGGGACTCGATCCAAACCAATCAGACAGAGTTTTCAACAGCCTTGAACTAAAGTTCAGGATCAGGGATAAAATATCCTTCTAAACACAATTCAATTTTGAGAGAATTAAATGGGGTTTTGGGGTTTTGGGGTTTTGGGGTTTTGGGG